CAAGTGAAAGATATAACAACAAGAAGTCAGGAAAAAAAAAGAAAAAAGAAAAACAGAATCACTGAGTTGGAAAAAGGATCACCAGTATTTTGTTGAACCACCTTTTGCTTTACAGCCTTTAGTCTGTTGATTTGTCTCTACTAACTTAGCACATCTAGACATTGCAATATGTGCCCACTCTTCTTTGCAGAACTGCTCAAATTTAGTTAAATTTGATGGTGACTGTTTGTGGACTGCAGTGTTCAAGTCATTCCACAGATATCCGTGGGCTTTAAGTCTGGTCTCTGACAAGGCCATGCAAGAACATTCACCTTTTTCTCCTTCAACCACTGTGTGGTCTGTTTTGCTGTGTGCTTTGGGTCATTGTCATTTTGGAAGGTTTTTTTTTCCCCCATTGACAACTTTCTGGCAGAGAGCAGATTTTCCTCAATAATTTGACAGTATTTTGTAGACATATCGTTTGGCGTTGAGGCCAAATAATTCAATTTTAGTCTCATCTGACCATAACACCTTTTTCCATGTGGCCTCCGAATCTTCAAGGTGCATTTTGGCAAAGCTCAGTCGTGACTGCATGTGGCCTTTTTTGAGGAATGGCTTTTTTCTTGCAACCCCCTTTCTTGTGATCAGGGCCGGATTTACGCATAGGCATTCTAGGCACGTGCCTATGCTTGCTCGTCCAGGGGGGCCCAAACACAATGAAGAGATATATAATATTTCTGTTATACTATGGGATATCTACAACAGTAAAAGAACCAAAATCCCAGAAGACTAAATATAAAATATAAATAAATATAACAAACAATAGGGTAAAAATGAAAAACTATTTCCATGTCTTCAACCTTTTTTATGAACGGAAATAATGATTTCTTTCTCCCATTCTCTCGCACACAGTATAGACACGCACTCGCACACACACGCGGAGACGCGGACAGAAACTTGTTGTCAGAGCTGCGGCTGCCCCGCAATTTTTCAATAATTTATCAATAAAATAGTTTCGCATTTCTCAGTAGTGAGGTTCTTGAAGCAGTTAAACTTAAAGATTCGATATTAGTAGACGCTGCTGCTGAATACTGCTATTTCAGGACGGAAACATGTCAAATGTCTTGAAACAAATCATCTGAACAATTGATGTGGGATTGTGACTCCAGGCCGTTAAAATTATTAGAGAAATAATGCACTCCCGAAGTGGTTATGTGGCCACATTGCCGCACCTATATGGAATGGTCTTTCTCAAACAAATTAAGAACTACAGTACATTCGATTTTTATTGACTGAACACAAGCGCTTATTGCGATAGAAAACACTGTAACGGTTTCCACTGATTAAGAAATATTTTTGTTTGCTTTGGTGTTAATATTAGGCCTATTATATTAATAGGTAAGGGGGGCCCAAAAATTTATTTTGCCTATGCCACGAAAAGAGGTAAATCCGGCCCTGCTTGTGATATTGTTGTCACATGCACACAATGACCACTCTTTGTCATAAATTCCTGCAGCTGCTTCAGTGTTGCTGTAAGCCTCTTGGTAACCCCTCTGACCAGTTTCCTCCTGGCTTTTTCATCCAGTTTGGAGCGACGTCCTGATCCAGGGAGGGTCTGTGTTGTTTTTTTAAATACCTTCTACTTTTTAATAATAGACTTCATTGTGCTTCTAGGCATTGATAAAGCCTTTGAATGTATTTGGTATCCGCCTCCTGACTTGGGACTGTCCACAACTTTATCCCGGAGATCTTTTGACAGTGCCTTGCCACCCATTGTTGATTGTTTGCTTCAGTTGCACTACCAAGGACTGAAATGTTTCAGGAAAGCTCTTTTCATGCTGAGCTAATCAAAATGAGCACAGCTGATCACAGCTGAAAGTCAAATGGCTTTGTGTGCCATTGAGAAGGTGATTAGCTACACCTGTTTGAATTTACAAGTCATTTTTAGGAGGGGGTGATCCTTGTGAACTCAGTGATTCTGTTTTTTTTTTGTTTTTTTTTCTGACATGTTGGTGTTATATCTTTCACTTGAATGTTATAAGTTGCACTGAGTAAGTACAACTGGATAAAACAAAAACTGTGTCCCTCTTCATTTCAGGCTGCAAAGCAACAAAATGTGATTATTTTAAAGGGGGTGATTATTTTCTATATCCACTGTAGAACACTGCACATTTTAGTCAAATGTTAGTTTTAATGAACAATAACACCCATTATAAAAGTATACGTATAAGGTATAATACGTTTGTACAATAGTAAATAAAGACAAGCAAACAATTTAGTCAAAAGTACAAAGGCAGTGCTCTAGTACAATGATAAATGTAATAAAAAATCTAAACTTATTAGTCTTAACTTTGCCCACAACAAAAACGATTTGCCCAGGAACAAAGATTGCTTATAATATAGGCTTTAGTTTAAAAATTAAATTATTTTGAAGAACATTCTGTTTGTTTGTAAATTAATCTTTTTTGGATAGTTTTTCTTTGTGGTATAAAGATGATTTGGTATTTTTGATGTGCCAGTGCCAGATATAGCCCAGAGTCTCAATTGAGCAACATCAGTTAAGAAGCGAATGAGCAACTTTGTCTGATGACTTGCATTTGCGTCCTGGGGAAAAACAAAAAATCATTCCCTATCAACCTCTATAGTCAACATAGTAATTATATATATTTTTTGGCCATTTGTTAGCAACTGTATTTTTTGAGACACAAAGGCTTTAAGTGGGCTATTACTGATGCATTTTAAGGTGTAAAAAATAAGTGAAAATATCTTAGGCTTTTGTTAGGCACAGAACTTATTTCAGGTGTTTAACCAAAGACCCATTAAAAAAACCTGGAACTTATTTCTGGATTTTAGGACCCATTTCTACAGTACTCTACTCGAGTCTTGCAGTCTCTACTAATGAGCTGATGAGATTAATCGTGTGATAGATGGGGAACCATATAAAATGTGTACTGATGGGACATCAGGACAGGTTTAAGAAGCACTGTTTTCAGTTATTTCTATATTAACATAACCATGCCTCATATTGCTCATATACATTTGTTCTTGGCCTCACATAAACAGGTTGTGGCCTATGAAAAACATATGAAGGAAACAGGGAAAAACGAATTTGTTTGTAATTCTGATTATATTCTGTGGTGATTTTCTTTGTTGCTTTGTTGCTACAACATTTAACTGCTGAGCTTGTGTTTTCTCAGAGTATGTTTTCATTACTGGAAGGCGTAATGTTGTTCTCTGCCATTCAGCTAATGATATGCTGGAAACATGCAAGAACTAACTTCTCTTTACTTCTAACTTTGCCATTTTTGCTCAACAACTTTTAAACTGTTGGTGTAAAAATGATTTTAGTGGATGTATGAAGTCAGTTCCCTTCAAATTAAAACAGTAATCTCATCATCACATTAACTTTTTGGATGTTCCACTAATGTCTGCAACCACAAAGTGTCACAAAATTTATTGTAATCATTTTCAATACTGGTCCATTGTTTTGTCATTTCAAAAACAAACAAACAAAAACTTTCTAGACACACTCTAATGATATCAGTAATATTTGCAAACAAATCATGAAGTCAGTTTTTTGTACTTTTGTAAATAATTGCACAGTACCTTATTTGATCACTTTTGGTCATTAATCTCTGTCTTCCAATTGTTTAATCTGACCTTCTTCCCTCTTTTCTGTGCACAGTTAAAAAGACAACTCCACCAATGTGAAGACCTTGTGTTCATATATGACATCAGAGGTTTTTTCCTGCCCACCCCTTTCATTCCGTTCTATTCAAGGAAAGTTTCCAAGACATTTCCAAGTCAACTTTGGCCTCTATGGATTGTACCTTCTCAGGAGAGAGTGATATTCGATCTTTGTAGACATGTGATGTTGACCCAAATGACATTCAGTTGAACAGAACGTGCTGCACTCTGACAAAATGTACAAATGCTGCAGTCCATCAGCATAAACTGTACCATATTACACATCTTCTTCAACAGCTGTTGCTAAAACATCAGCCATCAAAACACAGGGACCACATTCTAAAGATAATGCACAGCTTATTGTGACATGTTGGTTGTAGAATGGAAGGAGAGAGTTGAGGCAAGGATCTATTTGCACTGTTTATTAACTCTGTGCTATTGTTCGATCATTTAAAGAAAAGATCCCACGTGGTCTGAGAATTAAGAAATTTCCTTCATTCGGGGCTGATCATTTGGACTGAAATAAGTGGAAAACAATACTGAATAAATGCTCTCTAGAGATCTCATCCTTCTCCCCAATAAGGAAGCTAAAAAAAAATTAAATGCAAAAGGAAATAGATTTATTTTCTTTTTACCCCAAAATTGTTTTTAATTTATTAATTAATTTTCCTCTATATTTAAAAATATTTTATATTTTCTTTTTGTTTTCCAATTTAATTAATGTATATTTTTCTTTTGTATTTTACTACAATGTTTGATTTGTGTAGGAGTTGGTTGGTTAAAGCCATTCCCACTAATTTATCTGGTCAACCAGCTGTTTTAATGATCCACTGATTGCCAATAGTTTAAAGAATGTTTGTGTGAATAATGGATGTGTTTCCTGAAGAATGTGTATTCTGTGTCAAGCTGAAATGTGTTGATCAACTCTTTTAGGCCCGGTTTCACAGACAGGGCTTAGATTTAGCCAGGATTAGGCCATGGTTCAATTAGGACATTTAAGTAATTTTTATAAACGTGCTTAGAAAAAAACATTACTGGTGTGCTTTTTGAGACAAAACAAAGGCACTGATCTATTTTAAGATCAGTCAGTGCAAGTTTCTTTCAGTTGAAACAGCTCAGACTTATTCTAGGACTAGGCTTAAAGGAACACTCCACTATTTTTGAAAATAGGTTCATTTTCCAACTCCCTAGAGTTAAACAGTTGAGGTTTACCGTTTTCTAATCCATTCAGCCGATCTCCGGGTCTGGCGGTAGCACTTTTAGCTGCAGCTTAGCACAGATCATTGAATCTGATTAGACCGTTAGCATCTCGCTCAAAAATGTAGTAGGTGGCAGTATGCACGATTTACAATGGTCTGTATCCCACCAGGAAACTAAAAAAGAAGAAGAAGAAGAAATCCGCGCATCAGCATCCAGTCAGCGCGTACCCCAGCAGCTGGACTGTATCGCGTTTGACAGTCCCGAACTTCAAGACCGTCACATTGTGTGTTTTACCCGGTAAGGTTTGGCATTGTTTGGCCGGGCCGTGTTAACGTCTAAATGCTGTTCCTGAACGCGCGATGCACTTTGTATTCGACGGTTGTCCACAGTGTAGACAGCGTCATCGAATATAATGGGAGTGTTTGTCGCGTCGCTCGCAGTGTAGAGAGGTTTCCTGATTGTTCATGTGTGACGGGCCACTCTCTGTCTATTAGGTAATTAGGAGATCTTAATATTATCACTCTGTCATCTTTTAAATGTTAGGTGACCAACTCTTTCATTCCAGATGGCAGCCGAAATTGTCAGTGTTTTGCCATGATTCTGACTATAAATGTGACTAAATTATGAAAACTACAAACGCAAAACCTATTGCAGGGGCTGGGATTGTTAACGTACAGCTTAGATTCAGGTAGCACCCTAAACTGGTTTATTTTGGGCTTGACATATAATGCAGCTGCTTTTATCAAACATATAGTACCAATAAGTGCATAAAGGGTTAGTTCACCCAAAAATGAAAATTCTGTCATTAATTACTCACCCTCATGTCGTTTCAAACCCGTAAAACCTTCGTTCATCTTCGGAACACAAATTAAGATATTTTTGATGGAATCTGAGAGCTGTCTGACCCTGCATAGACAGCAACGCAACCGAAATGTTACCAAGTCCAGAAAGTTAGCAAGGAGATCTGTAAAATAATCCACGTGACGATCAGTGGTTCAACCGTAATATTACGAAGCTACGAGAATACTTTTTGTGCTCAAAAGAAAAAAAAAAAACGACTTTATTTACTTTACATATATATATAGATATATGTATGTGTGTGTGTGTGTGTGTGTGTGTGTATGAAAATAATTAATCTGTAATAAACATGATACATACTGTAAACCTGTTAATCATGTTTGTGGGCCTTTACCACACGTTTGATAACTGAGTAATATTTTCAGTGTCATGTGATGTTAGGTTTAGTGGTCGGTTTAATCAGCGCTTATATATATATGTGTGTGTGTGTGTGTGTGTGTGTGTGTGTGTGATAAGACCCCTTACAAAAAATGAGACATGCACGCAATGTACTAGTGTAGTCATGATACCAAAATTCCAGTAATTGGTAGCAATACTAGTGAAATGTAATTATTCTCAATATAATTTTTTATAGATAAAAATGCCTTTGAACACACTCTGTAATTGTTTAATTGCTTATTTTTTACATACTTTTAATTATGAAAATACTATTTAAAGTAATGAAAAGTTTGCACTAATCCCATGCATGACTTCCCCCAAATGTCTATATGAATGTAATTTCTATTCAATTTTGTCAACATTTTTTATATGACTCCCTCTCAATCTGATGGCCTGATGGTTAGAGAGTCGGACTCGTAACCCAAAGGTTGCAGGTTCGAGGCTTGTACTGGCAGGGATTGTAGGTGGGGGGAGTGAATGTACAACGCTCTCTCCCACCTTCAATACCACGACTGAGGTGCCCTTGAGCAAGGCACCAAACCCCTAACTGCTCCCCGGGCGCCGCAGTAAAAAATGGCTGCCCACTGCTCCGGGTATGTGTTCATTGCTGTGTGTGTGCTGTGCACTTTGGATGGGTGCACTAATTAGCAGAGCACTAATTCCGAGTATGGGTAACCATACTTGGCCACATGTCACTTCACTTCAGTCTAGGGCTGCACGATAAATCGCATGCGATATTTAATGCGCATCTTGTCAGAAAGCCGGTTCTGTAATCAGCGGTAAATCTCCATCACCTGCGTGCTTTCACATTGAGCAGCATTAACTACACAGAG